TTTTTTTTTTTTTTTTGCTCGAATGATCTAGGACGTGAAAAACATCTATGAGAAACTAGGGTAACTTTCTGGCTTCTAGATGCTTAACTAATGAACCATAGGCTAAAAAAAATCTGGATTTTTAGTGAAAATAATATCGAAAGGTTTTCATTTCATGATCCATATGTTTGGGGTTGAGCAGGAATTTTAATCTTCTAAAGTGCTTGTTTATTTTTTGTTTCTTACCTTGCTTTGATTATGTATTTATAAAGATTGCGACGATCATTACGGGCTTGGCTTTTAAGGAGCATATGTCTTTCTGAACAGTTACTATAAGTCGATTCGAACTTCGAACAATTTTGGAAGTGTGGAATTATTGCATAGGTGATGTGTTTTGGCATAACTTGATTTTAGTTGCTATTGTGGCATAATTAACTCTGTTTGTGGATCCATTTTTGGTAACCTATCTGTACTGCATCTTTAGACAATAAAAGTGCACACGGCAATTCATATATATGCTTATTATATGGCTTTTCTTTACATTCAATATATTAAGTAAATTCAAACTAATAAAAGCTTGGATTCAACACCAGTTTCTTTCACAAGGCAAATGCATTAATTGCATGGTGGTAATGTTTCAGTCCATTTTAGCTAAGCAACTTGGGAAAGATCTAATCTGCTTATAAGAGAGAAAAAACTGAGTGTACTATTTTGATTTGTTGGAGTTTTGTTTTTGACTCTTAAATTGTACCCTATGTTGGCATGTAGGTTCTCTTAGACAAGCTTTATATGTGGCGCATTTTCTTGTGAGACGAATCTTTTAATTATAGACACTTACTAGTTCAAAATTTTATTTCTGTAGCTTGATGCAGCAGTGCTTCAGTTTCAAAATCAGAAACTTGTGCAGAAGTTGGAAACTCAGAAGGGTGAGATTAATGCTCTTGAAGATAAAGTTTCGTTGTTGAAAGATAAGCAAAAGTCACATGAGAAAACCTTAGCTCTGGTCAATAACTCGTGGGAAGAGGTACATAACTTTATTGGAATATCTTCTTTTATCCACTGCTTTTCCATTTTAAGTATGAAGCATCCATACAACTGGAGTCCACGTAATCATAGGATTATATGTTCGGAGTGCATATACACTTAAATGAGTAAACTCGAGTCCCTCGATCCACATATCGTTTTTGTATTGATTGATGTTACAGTCTTGCTTCAAGTGGTAGAATGTAGCCATTAACGTAGAATCTGGCAGTTTTGCTTCAAGTGGTAGAATGTGGCCATTAACATAGAATCTGGCAGTTTACATCATTTACTTTGTTCGCATGACTACACTGTGTGTGTGTATATATATATATATATATATATATATATATATATATATATATATATATCTGGCATTTTTAAATGTTTGCCTACTCATTGTGAGATTGGCCCCATCTGTACCAGCTCGTTGATGACCTGGAATCACGCTCTAATTGCACAGTGGACTTTGTGAAACATGGGAGAGGTCTTGAATGCCATTTATTTAAGGACGGTGAGTGGAGCTATTGAAGGTTTCTCTCTTTCTCTCTCCACGTATTTTCTCATCCATCAGATTTTGTTTGTTCCTCAGCATGAACTTTCTTTATGATTGTACTAATGGGCCTTTTTGTTCTGGCATTTCATATTCTTAAAAGCGGATATCTGTGTTGTGTATTGTCAAATGGCCAGTTACCTGCATCAGACCCTATATCTATGGCGTTCTTTTTATCTGTACCTTGTACAAATGTTACTTACATATTTTGGGACCATTAATTTTTCTACAAATATGTTGAATTAAAATTATTTTAGCAGAAAATTCTGTTGTGTTTCTCGTTGCCAGGATACTCCTATTTTGGTTAACTGAGTGTTGGTTCATATACCTTGCTTTCTTTCTATCGAGCCTTACTCCACCTTCTGAGTTATTTGTGGTATCGAAAATTTAAGTTCTTCTGAGGAAATATACTGCCTGTGAGCTTGGGAATTCATGTTAGGTTCTGAACTAGACCAAAGGTGGGATTCTCATGACTCATGATTCTGTGTTTTCCCACACTGAACATTTGCTCCGCATTTTAAACCTTTGTGTATATTTGCCTAAATTGTCACCCTTCTCACTCAAGCTTTCTTTGGTAATTAATCTAATGATGTAATCTGAGCTTTGTAGCCATGTCTTGAAATGTGAATTTTCCATTCGGCATTTTTTTTTTTCTTTTAACAAAGCAATAATAAGTGCTTTTGAATAGACGGTGAATCAGCTCCAGAGGATGCTCTACTGAGCCGACTCCTAGAAACAGGAGCAACAGAAAGTAGTTCAGCCAGTACAACTGCGAATTCAACTGAAGAAGGTAGAAATATCGGTGGTGGAAACACGATGAAGACGAAGAACATACTCCACAACATAGTAGCTTCTCTCGATGATCTAAACAGTTTGAAGCATGGATTGTATGCTGCCTCTCAGAAGGCAATCTCATCTAATGGTAAGGATATTTTGTTGAATGAATTGGACATCTGATAGATAAGAGGAAATTGGAAAATACCTTTTATCTCATACTACTCTCTTGATACATAATGAATCTTTTCAGATTGTTTTCATGACGACATGTCTTGTTAAGATTTTGTTGGAATATCACTTGTGAGTCGTCCTAAATGAGTCTAGTTTATAAGCTTAGTAGACTACTCCTCCCATCACCAATTGGTTTTGGTATGGAACCTCACTAAGGTGCACCTAGGCTCACCCTCTTATGGTACGCTTCACTATGTGGGACCGCAGCCCTGATTCCCCCGATATTAAGAATTTGACAGATTTTTATCTACTTATCAGTTATCACTCACTTTCTTTTCTTCCCACTCATTGTAGGACAGGGCCAGAAAGCAGTTGTTGTTTCTGATTTTCAGCCTGACGTTAAAAATTTGAGAATACAAGCGCTTAAGCTTCACTTGAAACACAGAGAGCTTGCTGGTGAACTGCAGAGCCATAGAGATGCTGATGCAAAGAATAAAGCTGATTTGAAGTGTTTGAAAGGTAATATATATGTTATTCACAAAGGTCACTATGTAATCTGGATACCTTGATTTCCATTAATTTGTTCCCGGTCGAGCTAATCCTGCCCTTAGTGTTCTGTGTTTATCATCCCTTCCCCAAAAATTGATGGCATTTATGGGTCCAGGTCTTGGCTAGTGTAGACTGCTACAGCTTGGTCACTCTAATGGCACCCTGTAACATAAAATTCTTGATGATGAAGGTTCATATAGAACACCGTAAATATTAGTTAATCTGTACAAGCTAGTGACTCAGTTGTCAAAATTTACTTTACTCTTCCTTGACACATTTTATTATATTGGACAATTTCGATGCTTTTGTTTAGTGGTACTTGTGGTTGTGATTGTTTTTTTTTTTTTTTTTTTGGGACTTCTAATAGTTGAGAAGTTTTTTCGGTTCTCAAACACTTCTGATTCATGACAATGTCAGACGTATTGCCAAATGAATGTTCCTACATACAGGTTGCCATATTTTGAACAGGTCCCTGCATAAAAATGCATGACTATGTTTCTCTATGTACTTGTCTTGTGTATCTTAATGTATGTTTCTATATATGTAATGATATAGCACACAAGGATAGCTTAGGGTTTGTTTGTAAAAGGATAAATTCAATCAAATTAACTCAAAGTGAGTTTTTTTTAGTTAACTACGGTTAGTTTAAAAACCGTAGTATAGTTAGTTGTTAATGGGATTTGAGAGTATATTAAAATAATATTTAAAATAAAATAATCAAAGTTGATTTGATGTAAAAGTAGGAGAGATGATATGAAGTGATGATTACTTAAAATTATGTGAGTGGATGAATAGTGCATGAAAGTTGATATGATGTGTAAAAATGATTGGTTGTTATTGTTTAATTATATTGATAATATTGAGGATAGTGGGGTTGAGTTAAAGTTGAGTTAGATTTTGAGTATGAATTAATTTGGTTTGAGTAAATTCTTTTACAAACACACCCTTACCTTCTGAATTTTATTCTTCTAATTCCTTCTAGAGAAAGGTCCCTTGAGTTCTGGGTTAGGCATGCATAAACCAAACTTTCTTACTTTAACTTCGTTGGGTTTGGAGGTGGATGGATAATTGTGTATTGCTTCAGTTTATATTTATTTTTTCCTTATCAGCCTGTATCTTGTACTACTTACAGGTGATTATTTTAGTTAATAAGTGTAATGTGAGCTTTTTTAATTCCCGAGAGAACTCAAAATTATTGTAATTTTTTTTTTCCTGTAAAGGGGAGCTAGAAAATGCCATTTCTGAATTGGAAGAAAGTAATCGCACATTGGCAGTTCTGAAAGCCGAGAGGAATGTGTCAAATGGGCAATTATTCCCTGTTCTCAACCTTGGAAATAAGCATGTAAATAGTGATAAAGCAACGGACAACCAGAGAGTTCTGCTAGACATGGAGGCCACATTGAAGGAGTTAGTGGTAATTGTTTGTTTATTTGTGTGTGTGCGCGCGCGCGTTTTCATACTTATTCGATATTTGGAATGGACTAATGAATTTGTATCCCTATTCAGGAAGAATCCACATCTCGACTGCACGAGCTCGGGCGTCTTCATGAAGACAGGCTAAACACACTAAAACATTTGACAAATTTGCAGGTTAAATTTGTTCTCATTCAGCATTTTTTCTTTTTGTTGTTGTTGTTGTTGTTGTTGTTGTTGTTGCTGCTGCTGCGTTCTTCTCAATCATTTTCTTATTATTATGCAATGCTCTATTGCTTCTCTAATTAGCTATAAATATGTACTTTTCAGAGCAATCTGAAGAATGTCAATTGTATTCTCTCATCCCGAGCATATCACCTACTGAAAGATCAACTTACAAAGGCTAAAGCTGATGCTGCACAGTATCAAGCTTTATGTGAGAAATTTGAGGTTGTATTAAATGGTAGTTTCATTTTGCATTCATTGTTATGCTTGTCAAAATGTTTCCCGAGTGTGATTGTGTACCCATTTTACTCGCAGATCCAGAAAGAAAGACTGTACTGGAGGGAAAAAGAATGTCATATTAAAAATGAATTCTTAGATGTTCTTCACCGTTCTTCATCAGTGGCCAAGGCTAGAATAAGTGACTTGGAATTAGAAATACAGAGACACATTAAAGAGAAAGATGAAATTGAATCCAAACTGGAAGAAGCATCAAAAGAACCAGGTATGGAGTTGAACTTCTGTGTGTTTTGACAATGTTGCTTCATATAATTACAAGTACGGCTGCAAACGTGCTGAGTCGAGTCGAGCATTGGCCTTACCGAGCATGATTGGATTTTTTTTTTTAGCTGCTCGAGCTCGGCTCGAAAATTTTTAAGTGGAAATGTAATATTACCATTAAGCACTTATGCTATACTATTATTATATATATAAGGGGTATTTTAGTAATTCAACATATATCTTGAGCCGCTTGACGATGCAAAATATGGGCTCGAGCTTTACTCAAGTTCGTAATCGAGCCGCTCGAGCTCGAGTCGAGCTTTGACTCGAGTCGAGTTGAGTCGAGTTCGTTTGCAACCCTAATCACAAGTTAGGTTAGCTGTAACGCGCTGCTTCTTTCAGGTAGGAAAGAAATAATTGATGAGTTCAAATCCTTAGTTTCTTCTTTTTCTGAAAAAATGGGGAGCATGCAAAATCAATTAGCCAAACACAAGGAGACTGCTGCAGATATTCATTCTTTGCGAGCTCATGTTGGATCCCTAACAACGGTTCTTGATCGGAAGGTCAGATTTATACGTTCAAATTTATCCCCATCAGATTTAGCCTTTCTATTTTTATGCTATTACCTTACTGTAGATCATATGTTTGTGCGAGTGTGTGCCTGCAGTCTAGAGAGTTGGAGGCTTTGAATTCGAGATCCACTCAGCAAAATGCTGAAATTCTAAAATTGCAATCTGTGGTATGATTTGGTGTATTTTATATTCTTTGATTAGGAGAGTTAATTCTTGTTGAGAATCATTCATGTGATAAAATGTTGCTAAGTTGCTGCCTATTTTTCAATATTACGTTAAATGTATAGGAACACAACGACGAGTAAAAAATTTACCGTTTGTTTTCAGATATAGATTTGATCTTGAACTTCGAAAACTTTTAATTTGTGGACGCAGAACAGAGATTTAAGGTTAGCTGAAACAGACATGAAGCTTTTTCTAGAAATGTATGGACATCAATCGACTGATTCAAGGTTGGTACGCCTCCATATTGTTATATGGAGCTTCTGATTCGATTTTGTTTTTATATTTCCATATTATATGCAAGCTAAGTAAGTCAGTGGAAGAATTAAGCTGGACCACTTTGATTGAATCCAAAAAGTACTTGCCCAGCTGGATATACTAGAATGGTTTTGTAAAAATCTGCTTTGACAAGTAAATGGGGTCAACTAATAAAATACTACTGAGGGCATTTAGTAGAATTAAAAGTACCTCCTTCATATTTGTTCCTTTTTAAAAAAATTACCCGAGTGGAGAGAATTATTTGTTTAGAAGTACTAACTTCATGGGGGTGCTTTTATGTTTAGTGCCTTAACTGATATTTGTAATACTGATAGTTGATTTTTACAACACTTACATAAAATATGTATGATTCTTCAGCTATCCCTTATTAAACATTGAATCTGTGTACATATCTTTTACCTTTTAACCATTGATATGATTGCAGGGAAGTTGGGGAAGCTAGATATTCTGAGATCAAGGCATGGGCTCATGTTCAAGGTCTCAATTCTTCTCTTGATGAACATAATTTGGAGTTTCGTGTTAAGGTTGCAATTGAAGCTGAAGCAAAAGCCCAGCAGAGATTAGCTGCCTCGGAAGCTGAGATTGCTGAGCTCAGACAAAAGTTGGAAGCTTCTAAAAGGTTGGTTTTCTCTTGTCAATTAAGTAATTTTTACTGTTTCTTTGCTTTTCTCTTTTACTCAATATTCTGTTTATTGTTTGATTTCATGGAGCAAGAACCGTATTCACATAAATTACCTTGCTTGTGTAATGTATAAGTTCTTCAAATTCTGATAATATCTATGTTACATTTCTATTTGTAGCTACAGATGATTTGTTTGATTCCATTTTCTCGTCACAAAATAGGCAAAATACTTGTCATCTTTGCTATCGACATACTTTTTTTAAAAAAACCTTTAGTTTTACCCTAAATCTGACAGACATGAGGAAGCATGTAAGAATTACATTCAAAAAGACCGTATGAAACTTACTGTGAACATTATGATTATTATGATGGAATAATAACTTGAGATGTATGAGTAATATATGGAGCTTAGAGTGATTACATGGATGTTTTTCTTGAGCTGATAATTGAAATGAGTATATTTCAAGCATATGCATTATGTGTGAAATTCTTATTCAAAGTTTTCCCACTGGCTGTTACAGGGAAAAAACAAGACTTTCCGATACTTTGAAGTCCAAAAATGAAGAAACTGAGGCCTATATGTCCGAAATTGAGGTCCATTTTGGTTTTATTTAGATTTTTTTAGCTTGTATTGCGTTTTTTCAATTAGGCTAACGGATTGATTTTATCAAACTACAGACCATAGGGCAGGCTTATGATGACATGCAGACTCAAAACCAGCAGCTTTTGCAGCAAATTACTGAAAGAGATGACTATAATGTAAAGGTAATGACTCCCTTGTTTCAGATGGATTTATCGAAAAATCAACTTGTCATTTCTCCCTCACAATTTATCGTTGTAAATAGGAAGTAATGAAACATTCTTTGACTATTTTGAAAGTTGAATTACTTTTCTCCTAGACTCAGTATGGTATTAGTCATTTTGAGCAATTTCATATTCTGACTCAGTGCATTCTAATTTCTCCGTGTTGGTTTTTGCATATTTATGTTTCCTTTAATTTTCTTTTAAGTAATTATTGGTTTCTGATTATTATTTTGGAGAACCTTTTCCTGTTGGGTAAACTTATGTTATAGCTCGAAGAAAATATGGTGGCAACTAGTCAATGATCTTAGTTTTAAGATCGAATAAAATTCTACCAGGGCTCGTTCCGAATCACAAAATTGGCACTACCACTTTTCCAAAATGTATTTACACTTGATATCAAAACTTTGACGTGTAGGGTAAATCTTAGAACTTCATTTTCCCAAGTTACCTATTTCCTTCCCTATTTTCTCTCTGTATTTTAATGGAAAGTAGAATGCCCTAACTCGACTATGATATTATTGTTTAAATCTCATTGAATTTTTAATCTCCCGAAATCAAATGATAAACACGGTAAGAGAGAACTCAAGTCCTGTTTAAAAATGAAAAGAAAAAGAACCATTTATTCAAAGAACACTCATGTTCTACCGTTATCTATATCATGTGCTGGATTTCTTTATTCAATAGATTTATTTATTTATCTATTTTTTTCTTTAGAGGGTCACTTTTGGATGTGTGAGATTTTTTAGTTTCGGTTTCAGCTTGTTTTAGAAGGTGTTCGTGCAAGACAGCAGGAAGACACCTTGCTTATGGATAAGCGTATGTTGGAGAAAACCACTCAGCAGACCAAGAAAACAGTTGATTTTCTCGATTTCAAAGCTGGTAGAATAGAAAATCAGGTAAAAAATATGAGCCGCCTACATAGTTTCAAACTCCATTATTGTTTTTTGCGAATCATTGACGTTTATTTCCTCTGCAGTTGAAATTATACTCTGATCAGTTGCAGAGGGTCAACGAAAATAAAGCCCACAACTCTGCTTTGGGAGAAAATACCCAAAGAAGACTTTCAGACGTGAAGAGATCTTGCCAGAAAGTGACAGTTACACTTGAAGAAGCACAATCCCAGGTTGAGAAGAGTAGAGAGTATCTGGCCGGGTTGCAGATGGAACATGAGAAAGAGAGGTTTTTGGACATTTTAGATCTACTCTTCATTTATGGCAAACATTTTTTTTTTTTTTTCTAATTTTTTATTTTGCTTGAAAGGGTTTTATATGTTTCTTGATAGTTCTTTCTCGTGCATAGATTTGCAAGGAAAAGGGTAGAGGAGGATTTGGATGCTCAGCGGAGGAAAGCCGAACTACTGAAATTACACGCTGAGGGTTCCTTAGCTGAAAAGCTCCAGCTGGAGCTAAGGGAATACAAGGAAATTCTTAAATGCACTGTTTGCCTTGATAGAAGAAGAGAGGTATGTTTCATTTTGAAGTGGTCTTAAGGAGGTGTAATATAATATCAATGGTTCAGCGAAATCTAGGAGAATACTATAGTATGCAGTTATGTGAGAAATTACGAAAATCGAGCAATTTCAAATTTGTAAAGAAAAGACCATCACAATTGGTTTGGTAGAGATCTGAAACGAAAGACACTACCGTAATTGTAGTAACTGATAATCTCAAAAAGTTTTAGAACATGCACGACCAAGTCTTTTTTCCATCTCAATTTTCGAGTTTCGTTCATGAAAGTGCCATGTATATATGGCAATTGACTATGGCTATGTAGCTGATAAGCTAGCTTATAGCTTTTAAGTGAATTTCGAGCTTATAGCTGATAGCTTATTACTTATGGCTGAAAACTTGGTAAAATTAGCTATAAGTTAACTGAAATAAAAATTTCAATGTGCTTATTGAAAAGCTAAGGAACCTTATGAAATAAGCTCGAGCTTTTTAAAAAGGCTCGTTATCCCAAACCAAGTTTATTTGAATACAGGAAGCTTATAAGCTAATGAAATAAGCTATAACCTAGCTTATATGCTTACCAAACCCTACCTTAGACACTTGGACACGAGTTTTAAAGTCTTAATCGAGTGAAACCTAAGCAACGCTTGTTCTTGCAGGTGGTCATCACGAAATGCTACCATCTGTTTTGCAGCCCTTGCGTTCAAAAAATTGTTGAATCTCGCCACCGTAAGTGCCCAGTTTGTGCAGCGAGTTTCGGAGCTAATGACGTTAAACCTGTATACATCTGATTAGGAAATGTACCGTGAATGTTTGGGTCCCAGATGATGTTTTACATGCACAATATACTTTTTTATCCATTCATAGGATTTAATTTTTTTTCGAATGTGCTATATATAATATAGACTTGTGCTTGGGTTTATAGAGGTCCCTTCCTCTGAAAATTCCAGATTAGCTTTTGGGGGTTTTGCTGGTATAGGGTTTATAATCTG